AATAGTCTGGAGAGGCGACTCGATAAGGGAGATAAACGTCATGTCCTACGACCCACATTTCCCCACTAGCCCTCATGATCCAGACTGATGATCTCTGACAGAACGACCCACATGTAAAGTCCAGACAAAAACACCGTGGGCCAGCGCCCTTCAATGATATGATAAACAGAACAGGAACATTTGCTTTTACGCTTACGACACTGGAGAAAACGACAATGACGCAATAGGTAGAGCCTGCACATACATATATATATATATATATATATATATATACTTATAAATGTACAAGTGCTGTCAAATCAATTAATGTTTATAATATATGAGAGTGAATATATAGTATTATTTATATATATTATATGTGTGTGTATATCCATACATATATATGTACACACACGTGTATTATATAAACACAAGCTTTTATGTTAGATGTGATTAATCGATTTGACAGCACTAATATATATATATATATAAAATCAAATAAATAAATATACATATAATATATCAAATGAATACCATCACATTAAATATTATCTTAGTATAATATCATATATTAATAGATATATAGTAATATAATCTAATATGTAATTATGCTTTATATAAATATCTAGGTAATATAATATATAAAATAAGTAAAATAAACAAAATGTAATTTACAATAAATATTACACGTACACTGTTACAGGATAATTAAATACAATCAAAAACACTATTTTTTTTTTATTTACACACACACACATATATATATATATATACATTAGGGCTGTCAAACGATTAATCGTGATTAATCGCATCCAAAATAAAAGTTTGTGTTTACATAATATATGTGGGTGCACTGTGTATAATTATTTTGTATATATAAATACACACATGCATGTATATTTAAGAAAAAAAATATTATTTATATATAAAATATTTATATTTATATATAATATAAATTATATATAAATCTATACACAGTATATACATTAAATTATTTATTAAATATATACAAGTGTGCGTATTTATGTATACAAAATAATTATACACAGTGCACCCACATATATTATGTAAACAAAAACTTTTATTTTGGATGCGATTAATCGCGATTAATCGTTTGACAGCCCTAATATATATATACACTGTATATATTCTACCCTGTTACAAAAAATGTGACCATGTAAATATAATCAAAACCCTGATTTGTGTCATTTCGTTATTTTCTACCAAAATTAAATTGGCAGAGTTGATCATTTAGCTGAAAATAAGATCAGTGATTAGATCATTTTAGGACCATGTGTTGGTTTTTAGTTGCTGAAAAAATTAAGAAAATAATTGTCATCATATTTTTTTCTTACAATAGCTGAACAAGGTTGAAGAGACTGCTATACTGTTGAAACACTCCAGATGGTATTGTGTCAATTTCGATTAGATAGACATTCTAATTCAAAACGCCATTGATGAACAGCAAAACTTCATATTCTTTCCATTCAACATGTTTGCCAATTTCCAGGCTCCATCTGATCCACAACCAGTTTTCCACATTCGATTCCTAATCGAAACCATTCAAATGCCCCACTAAACTGCTCTCAGATCAGAAAAACCCTCAGCGAGTCGATCCAACCATCAGCCACCACAGAAATAACAACAGTCGTGTTTTTCTGCTGTATCTGCCCGATAGGGATCTCCGTCCTGCCGATATCTCCCTCCACCACTCCTGACGCAGGAAACACTATCTCGCCTTTGCATCCGTCTGTTTGCCGCAAACGAGGGATAGGGGGGAAAAAAAATCCATCATTCCCACCACATCCATCCCAGAGAGAGCATCATGTTCAGAGAGCTGGCTGAAACGGACACCGCCAATTAGGAGCGGACAGAACAAGCGGCTGCCCTTTCCTGGCCCTCTGCACTTGCACTTCTCCTCTCCCCGTCCCGCAGAGAGGTGAGGTGACAGGGCGTCAGGGGAGCTGAGCTGGAGGTGAAGGAGGTGAATTTCCGAGGTCAAGCCGAGACACTGATACCCCAATTAAAAAGACGAAAGATCTCGTTCTGTCAAAGCAGTGCCACAGGCACATCCATTCTCTGTGTCAAACTCACTCCAGTGCAGACGCGACTCTCAAAGAGAAAGAGATCCTACAGCTACATATGAAGCATACTTAGAAAATTAGATATGCATTTGTGAAGCCAAAACACACACAACCTTGAGGCGGATGGGCTACAACAGCAGAAGACCCCACCGGGTACCACTCATCTCCACTACAAATGGGAAAAAGAGGCTACGATTTGCAAGAGCTCACCAAAATTGGACAGTTGAAGACTGGGAAAATGTTGCCTGGTCTGATGAGTCTCGATTTCTGTTGAGACATTCAGATGGTAGAGTCCGAATGAGAACATGGATCCATCATGCCTTGTTACCACTGTGCAGGCTGGTGGTGGTGGTGTAATGGTGTGGGGATGTTTTCTTGGCACATTTTAGGCCCTTAGTGCCAATTTGGCATCGTTTAAATGCCACGGCCTACTCGGACAGTATGCGATTTACACCCTTACAAACGAAGTGATTCACTCTCGTCACATCAGTGCATTGATGCAACAGCACTGTGATGTTCAGTTCATGCATGAGATATTTATACTGCAGACAGCCAGGAATAGAACAGAACCTCAATACTCACACACAGCTGACATTTATAGAGAGGGAATCAAAGCTAGAGGGCGCGTGAGGTGAAAAACACTCTCGCTTTCATCTAATGACAATGTGCATTTATTAAACTGCTCCTAACTTTACTGCTTGGTTCTTGGTACAACTTTCAATGAACAGCCTGGATTTTTAACCATGAAGCTACACCACCCTCTGCTTTCAGTTCTAGCATGAAGCAAATCTTTGTTTTCGTTGATTTCAAACATCAAGATTCAAGATATGTTACAGATTTTCCAAAAAAGACATTAGAATTTACATGGATCCAAAAATGTGCAACTGTCTGCCATCTTGTGGCCACAAGCATTTTGGCAAAAAGATTATGCATTTAAATATTTTTAGTTAAATATTAAAATATAATTTCATTATTGTTTTTAAGATATTATTGTAATTATATTTTGAAATATATCAAATTATAATATTATAATAGTATAAGTTAGATTAATATTATGTATAAACAATATAAAAAATATATAATAATTATTAAAATAAATGATTATGACCTATAATAAAAAGAAATTCAAGAACATTTCTTCATTTAGCATGTCAAAATCATTAAACAATCTGATTTAAATGTAAAAAATATGAATATATGATGAATTATAACACCATAAATTACAATATAATCATTTATATATTTATATATATTTTTAACATGTATTAACATTACATACTTGTTGGATTTTGATTTAATACTTGCACAATTAAAGCAAATCTGTGGGGGAAAAAATATTCAATGATATTACTAAAAAACATTCTTCATTTTAAATTTTCTTTGTTTAACATTTACCAAATTCATTAAACTTTGCCTATTTTTTATTTTAAATGTAAAAATATTATTATGTATTATAATACAGGTCATTTACAATAAACACATTTGTACTTTTTTATTACAAAAGTTAATATTCAGTTGAAATACTTAAAGCAAAAAAATACACATTTAAAGCAAATTTATGAAAAAAATTAATAGTATAAGTAAAACTATTCTTAAAATATTTGTATTTCTCAAAATCATAAAACTTTGCCAACTCAGATTTATATGTGAAAAATATTTATATAATATTTTTCACATATAAATCCGAGTTGGCAAAGTTTTATGATTGTATAATATTTTTCACATATAAATCTAAGTTGGAAAAGTTTTATGATTTTATAATATTTAAGAAAATAAATATTTAATGCCAATTATGCCACACACAAAAAAAAAAAACACTCACATTTCTGTTCTCCTGCAGACTGTTTGCTTACGTTCACATTTGATGGTTCATCAACCTTCAGTGTTTGAACTAAAGTGTCGGGGGAGATTTTAGTTCCAGCAAAAACTCCAGTGGGAAAACTGAAAGCCTAAGTTAAATGGAAAACACATTAAGCTGAATAACATTCAACAGATCTCATTTGGAACAGCTCATCTGAGGAGAAATTACAATGGGAATACAGTATGGCACTGACATGATGTGAATTATTAAGCTTTTGAAAATGGAATCACAAACAAATAGTCATACCTTTGAAATATTGCTAAAACTACTTTCAGATGTGTTGGTTTTGGGCTGTCGTGAATCTGTTTTTGTGAGTTGAATAGGTTGGATCGCTATCTTCTCCAGATTCCCCAGCATAGGTCTGTTTTCATGCTCATTTTCCAGCTTTACAGCGCCGTGATGGAGCTTCTGTCGTATCCGTTTAATTTTCCCCACCATTCTGATTTACTTTATGTGATTTCGATATATTTCTTACGTGTATACAACGCTCAAACATACAGAAAAGGACCCGCACGTGTTAAAGTGACAACTTGTTTGGCGTTACAGTTAATTTTGTCCGGGTAAAAATTAAACGGAAGACAAGTTCCGTCAAAAGTCCCCTTACTCTTCAGGTCGTCGTTGAGTTGAGGATCGTCTACTCTACACTTGAAAATGTTCAGTGATAGTTCAGTTATTGTACCAACAAACAAAACTTAATCAAAGAATACAAACTGTAGCATAAAGCACATATCTAATGTCAAAATAAGAAGAAATTTAACTTTAACCGAACCGTGATGAAGCAACTTTACTGTAGCTAGCTAATGTCCGTTTCCCCATACTTTTACGTATTAAACATAATTCTAACATGTCCCACTATTAAAGTACTTTTTAAATATAGGCTACATTTAAACTTAAGTTCGTTAGCAACACTGGGGTCTATCAACTTGACCAGCACAAGTTCCAAAAACCCACCTAGGCCAGTCTGAATATGCTAATAAACCATCTTAGACTTGTTTGTCTGATGTAATTCATAATTTTTAGTCTTCTCATTCATATACCACGTTGTTTTTGAGCTTTTTTAGCAACAGAAACAGGAAGTCATTTAAAATATCTTTATTTTTTGAAGAATATGGCAAATATATAAATATATACAAGCAAAACAGACAGTTTACAGTTAGTTACTGAGCAATGCTACAAAAACAGTATATAGATCCGGCTCATACGAAGCAGAAATACAAAAATTAACACTATTAGTCCAGCAGCATACATTTGATTTAACAAATGTCTTGACGTGATTCAGAATAATTCTCTGTACATGCTAGGTGAAAGGTGATGCATTTAAGGGTATATGTATTTTGATATGTATACAGTATACTGTATCCAGGTAGGTGGTGCTGGGTACAGACAGGTCATTTTCACTGCCTTCTGTATCTCTGTGTAACTGAGTCTGGCCCCTGAGGTACTTCGGGGCCAAAGGAAGATTGTAATTGAGCCCTGGTGCCCATTATCTCTGTTCCTTATTCCAAAGAAGCAGTTAACACACACACCACTGTAAGTACTACTGATATAGTCGTACGAATAAAGAACCAAGCCTTTTCTATTAAAATGTTTCTAAAATACAAAAAGCAAGATATAAAGACTTTGCCATGCATGGTAACAATAACAGAGGGCGTTCGATTGGGGCTGTTTACACGACAATTTTCACCTAAAAACGGAAAACTATGCGTTTTTGGCTGTTAATTTATACGAAAACAGCTTTTTGGGAGCCTGAAAACACAAACTTTAAAAAAACGAGTTTCAAAGTGAAACCGATATCATTATCGTCTCCACGTAAACTACAAAAACGTGTTGTAGTTTTTAGTCCTTTTCACAGATCCGTGTGAACGGGCATCATTTTAACAGCACTGTCGTCTCTGTCCGCGAAAAAAAGTTTCCTATTTTAGTACATCGTTGTCGTGTAACGTCCCCCATTTTGTAGTCCTTGAAACAAGGACAAAATAAGCTTTATTATCTTGTTTTTCTTTTGATTTTGAGGTTAAAATACAACCTGGACAACCTGTATCTCATTGAAGTTGAACTTAGACATAGAAAATCACACAAATCTTAATAACAAGTCTTTAAAGTAAATAAAATAACTATAAAATTATTTGGCGTATATATAAACTAAATCTATAGTAGTAACACAACTTTACCTTAAAAGTGTGAATTTTAATATATTTTTTAAATTATGATGTCAGCATTCTGCAAACAAGTGTTGACTGGGAAGACTTGAAATTGTTGCATTTTTGCTTTTTTTGTGCATACGTCAATGTAAGACAGCGTTAAATTCAGTTAAATTAGTTTAGTTATCTGCACGTGAACAAAAAGCGAGGAAGGAGGTATGCTGGTGCCGTCCTTAGACAGGAGATGGATGTGACGATATCCTATGTGGAAGAACAAAACGTGCTTATTTAGGATTAACAGGAGCTCCAAGTAGGATACATTTTTGATGCATTTGGTGGAATGGAGACGTACCTGGTTGAATACAGGCGAAAGGGAGAGTGAACTGTCCCACAAAGTCGTTCTTTGATGTTTTATCATAGTCCTCCACGACAAACCGAACCAGCGCCAATTCAGGGGCGTGAACGGTGAACTGAAGCGTGTCGTACCATACCGGGTTGAAACCTGCAGAGACAAATAGGTTGTTGACATGAAATTTCAAGCATTAACAGTGCACAACATGCTGTTCTACTGTACAGCTACAATTTTTCTAAATGTCCTATATATTTAAATAAGCTAAAATAAAGATAGACACGGTAGATCTTAGTGCATGTCCATTGAAAACCGTTAGCTCAAAAACAAGATTGGTTTAGTCTTTTGATTGCAACAAGATCTCTGTTTTGACTGCGTCTAGACTTTCTCGGTCTAGACTTAACTCCGTCCTATACATTTTAACTGACCGTTGTTGTCAATGTATCTGGTTTCCTGCTTGGCTTGGTCCAGCTGTATGCCATGAATTTCCACCCGAACGAGGGGATCAACAATTGAGCCCTCCTTGAAGTTTACCTTGGGAAGCTGTTGGCCACTGATGACCTGGAATGAACACACAATGCAATTTTAACATATGAACATTAGGGATGCACCGATATGAAAATCTTGGCCGATGCCGATAACCAATAATTCTTTATATTTGAAAGCCGATAACTGATATATCGGCCGATAAACTTAAATATAATTTTTTTTGACCGATATATAACCGATATATCGGCCGATAACTTAAATATAATATTTTTTATCTAATTTTGAGAGCCTGATTACAAAAACAAAAGTCTCACAATTAAATCCATGTCCCAAGCGCACAATTATAATGATGTTCTCATTATAGTGTTGTATAGCTGATATGACAGATTTGCGCTGCACATGTTGCACCGAACCGTATTTTAATTTTTTGAAGAGATTTCAATCATATTTCAAGAAATTCAAATTTATATATTTATATAAATTTATATACGCTTTAATATATCGGCCACATTTTCTAACCAGGCCGATAACGATAACACTAAAAATGAACGTATATCGGCCGATACCGATATGCTGGCCGATATATCGTGCGTAATTAATGAACATGTTATCTAAGACCAGCACATGCACAGAAATTCAGGTTTCTACCTGTATAGAAAGGCTAAGCGGATTGTAATCATCTCGGTTTTGGGGGGTTTCTGGGTCAAAACTCTCATCGATGTTGCGCATGAACGCTGGTTTCAGTACGTAGCCACAATGCCCGTTCTGACTGAATAAGCCGTCGTTTAGATCCATCTCAACCCCTGCGGTCTGAAAGTTCAGAGCAACTGAGAAGAGAAGAGAAGGCTACACTTAGCAATAAAATATGTATTATTCCGTAGTAAAATATCCTGTATAAAACATTTCCTAGTAGAACATTTTTCATTTTCATGGATAAAGCATGACAATTTAAAGGAGTAGTTCACTTTTAGAAAAACTTTTGCTGATAATTTACTCACCCCCATGTCATCCAAGATGTCCATGTCTTTCTTTCTTCGGTTGAAAAGAAATGAAGGTTTTTGATGAAAACATTCCAGGATTTTTCTCCATATAATGGACTTCAATGGGAACCAAACGGTTCAAGGTCCAAAAGACACTTTCAGTGCAAAATGCAAACTGTTCAAAGGGCTTTAAACGATTCCAGACGATAAATAAGGGTCTTATCAAGTGAAACGATCGCCCCTTTTTAAAAAATAAATTTTAAAACAAAGTTTAAGTTTTATAAGCTCAAATGGTCGCCTTGCTCTGTTTTGCAATGGACGATTGTGACTCTCCTAGAACTCGTTTAGCAAAATGAACAAATCTTTTTCCGAGCCAATTTGTTCGTTGAATGAAACAAGCAACTCGGAAAAAGATTTGTTCATTTTGATCTACGAGTTCGGACAGGAGAGTCACGAACGTCCATCATAGAACAGAGCAAGGCGACCATTTAAGCTTATAAAACTTAAACTTTGTTATTTATTTTTTAAATGAGTGATCATTTCGCTTGATAAGACCCTTATTCATCGTCTGGAATCGTTTAAAGCCCTTTGAACAGTTTGCAGCTTGCACTGTCTTTTGGACCTTGAACCGTTTGGTTCCCAATGAAATCCATTATATGGAGAAAAATCCTGGAATGTTTTCATCAAAAACCTTAATTTCTTTTCGACTGAAGAAAGAAAGACATGGACATCTTGGATGACATGGGGGTCTCCCAGTTGACCAAGCTAATAAGTGCCTAAAATTTCTGTAAAACCAATTTCTGTGCTAACCTCACCAGCTTGATTGCTAGCTAAAACCAGCACACCACTTGGTTAAAGCTAGACTGGTTAAAAATCTGTATTTTCAAAAGACTTGTAAGACTAATTCCTAGTACATAACTAGAAATTAATCACATCTGTATTATGCTAATAGACAGTTGTTCATCAATAGAGAATCTTCCAAAAAATTTTCTATGAAAGCTCTCAAGAAACATATCTTAGTCTCAGGTAGGCTTACCAATTTGGCACCCTGCGTTCCACATGTCCTGTGGGTTGAAGTTGGATGAGTCCGTTCTCAAGCCACTGGGGTAAACCCGGCTCAACTGATGAGCGTTATGGAGAACAAACTCTGCTCCTGTAGCACAGAGACAAAGTAAGACAATACAATTCTCTAAAAATTATAATTGATGAGCTGTTATAAGCAGTCAGACTCATTTTTCCTTTACCTGCCTCCCTCATGAGTTTCCGGGCCTTAGACTCTGTGAAGGAGGAGATCTCGTAAAACTTGGAGTGTATTCGTGAATGTTTAAAGCTGCTAAAGTGGACACTCTTGCAGTAAACCACACAGTCGGACAGCTCTTTAGACAGACGCTGCTTGGATTTCTAGACGGGACAAAAACAGTCCTTCAGTTCAGTTTGACAGTTCCACATTTGTTTCATTTTCTTAGCCTTGGGTGGTTTTCTGGTTTTCCACAGATTAGGCTGAACTTTTTTTGATATTTCAGCTGGTAAGGCCTTTGAGGCAAGCTTGCTAACTAGCTAACCCAGCTGAACACAGTTCACTTTAAAAAAAAACAAAAAACAAAAAACTTTTGCTGATATTTACTCACCCACATGTCATCCAAGATGTCCATGTCTTTCTTTCTTCAGTCGAAAAGAAATTAAGGTTTTTGATGAAAACATTCCAGGATTTTCTCCATATAATGGACTTCAATGGGAACCAAACAGTTCAAGGTCCAAATGAGAGTTTTAGTGCAGCTTCAAAGGGCTTTAAACGACACCAGACGATGAATAAGGGTCTAATCTAGGACCCTTCGAGTCATGACTCGAAAAAAGATTTGTTCATTTTGATGAACGAGTTTGAACAGGAGAGTCACAAACTTTTAAATGACCGATCGTTTCGCTAGATAAGACCCTTATTCATCATCTGGTGTCGTTTAAAGCCCTTTGAAGCTGCACTGAATTCTCATTTGGACCTTGAACCGTTTGGTTCCCAATGAAGTCCATTATATGGAGAAAATCCTGGAATGTTTTCATCAAAAACCTTCATTTCTTTTCGACTGAAGAAAGAAAGACATGGACATCTTGGATGACATGGGGGTGAGTAAATTATCAGCAAAAGTTTTTTTTAAAAGTGAACTACTCCTTTAAGCCATTTAAAGCGTTAGTTCACCCTAAAATAAAACTTCTGTCATTAATAACTCAGCCTCATGTCGTTCCAAACCCATAGGAGACTTCATTCATCTTCGGAACACAAATTAAGATATTTTTTTATGAAATCCGAGAGCTTTCTAACTGCGACGTTATTACCACTCAAGGCTCAGAAAGATAGTGAAGACATTGTTAAAAAAGCCTTAATGTTATGAAGCGACGAGAATACTTTGTGTGCAAAAAAACTAAAATAACTACTTCATTCAACAATTTATTCCGTTTCGTGTCAGTTTCCAACGCTGTTCATGTGAGCACCACAATGTGTGTGTGGTGTGCTGACCCAGGAGTCGGCCAATGCTGAGCCAGCATTCTGACCCGGAAGCGCTGCACTGTGTTTACAACGTAAACAGCATAGGAGACTGACGCAGACGAGAAGAAATTGAGGGGAAAGACAGCACTTCGGACAACCTGACACAGTTAGTGAGACAACAACAAACCACTACCTTGCTCCTCTACATCCTCTTTGTTTTTTTCCAGCTTTCTTTTCTAGAGCAGCCATGATCAAAATTAATGCTAGAGATTAAAGGTTATAAAAGCTATTATAAATATGCACCTGTCTTTATTAAGAGCTCAAAATAGCAAAATATTTTTAACTAGCCCAACAGCTTCTAAAACCTTTTGACATGGCTGTGGTGTTTTGAGAAGTCAACTAGCTAAATTGCATGATGTGGTTTTACTGACGGCCCATGTGTAATAAGGACTGGTATACACTAGAGCCAGGCCGATATATCGGCAGACCGATATTAGGCATTTCCCAAACTATCGGTATCGGCAGTTATAATGGCCGATAAATGAATATTTCAAAAATAAAATAAAAACGGACGAAACACGCTTGAAACATGTCATGAGTGTTGGAGTTGTATGGTTTGTCCACCAGAGGGCAGTCTACACTGTTCCTGTTGGCAACACTCGTTGAGTTGGTCACGAGACATACATTGCTTAAATAACAATTAAAAGAACATCCCCATCAGCTCTCTTAACTCAAATAAGCATGACAAAATTTGTGACTAATCATCTCGAGTTTAAAAAATAAATAAATAAATAAAATATCGGCCGATATATCGGATTTTAAAACCCAAAAATATTTGTATCGGTATCAGCCTTCAAAATCCTTTATCGGTCGGGCTCTATTATACACCTGGCACTTCCATTACACTTCCATTTGTTGGGTTTGTCTTTGCTAACCTGCTGTGCCATCTTAACATGATATTCAACGTGCCTTGATCTGGGCTGGTAACCAAAAGTTGTAGGTTCAAAGCCAGCAAGGGTTGATTCTTTGAAATTGTACCCTTGAGCAAGATACTTCCAGAGGGACTATCCCTGTAGGAAGGGTTCTGTAAGTCACTTGGGATAAATGTGCCATTTAAATGACTATTAGTAATTAGCCTAAATCAGTTATCTGACAAGACGGAGTCTGAAGAGCAGAGTTGATGTTCAAATTAAATGTTAAACATAACATAACAAAATGTTCCAGTTGACTGGATCTCTGGAGAAACCAAGATGGGTGATCCCTGACTGCAACTAACCAGAGTTCAAAGAATCAAGTGTCGCATGGTAACAGCAGTGCCAACAAGTGCACATGGCCACCTATCAGAAACACGCCGTTTCGGTCTTATCTATCTGCGACTTTCTCTCTTGCATTTTCTTGTTTGTTTGTGTACGTCCTTCCCAAGATTGCTTCATTCTAACCTCATTCAACTTTCATTAGTGCTTTATGTAATCAGCCCGGAACAGAGAAGTGGAAGTTTCCATGGGTGATCCAAACGAAGGTGTGTGTGTTACATAAGGTGATTCTAACCTTGTGGTTAAAGTCTAGGCAGACTGAAAGTCTTGCTTGAGGACTTGAGGAAGACCTGATAACCTACTTGTGAGACAAGTCTGACGGTCAATATTTTACAATCCACTGGCACATGAAGTAGCCAAATAATTTGTACTGTAGATATGGATAAATACCATTATTTTTAACATTATTTCCTTTTGCTAATTCATTTGATTGGGTTCAAACGTACGACTTTTCTGTTACCAACTCGGATCTTTAATATGATTTCAAAGTATCACTGTACCTTGCCTCTATGTCGTATGCTGTCGGTGCGATGATGGTCATCATCAATTTCAGCGGTCTCCTCTTCGTCGCTCACCTCTCCTGTCAAAGGGTCATCCGCCACCCCATTCATGCTATCCTCTAATCCACCTATCTTCTTTCCTTTCAACAGAATCTTCCCTTTCAGATCCTACACACACACAAATATGGAGAGGATACACTTTCATCAGCAACAATCTGAAAACTATTTTCCAGTGAACACATTGATATATCGTCCGGGCCAATATTAGGCATTTTCCAAAATAGCGGTATCGGCAGTTATAATGGCCGATAAATGAATATTTAAAAAAATAAAATAAAAACGGACAAAACACGCTTCAATCATCTCTCCTTGGCCTGTTATATTGAAAATGTACGTTTTAAAATTTGCAGTATGATGTTATCTATTGCTAAATTATGGCTCACCATAGACTAGCTAACCACAAATGTCACTATCATCAGTGGAAGACCGCTAACGTTAACATTAATGAGCTTGGAAACAACAATGAACTTTTTCTGCCTAAATAAAGTAATGATTACTGTATTTTTAACTAGAATATCTCTAGTTACAGTCAAGTTATACTTGCGAGGAGTGAACATTTAGACATAGAGAAAAAGTATCAAACGTATCTTGTGCAGAAAAGTTCGCTTTTCTTTTACACATGTGTGAAATCCAACAATATTTAATAATAATAAAAAATATCGGCCGATATATCGGAATATCGGATTTTAAAACCCAAAAATATTTGTATCGGCCTTCAAAATCCTTTATCGGTCGGGCTCTAATTGACACACAAACTAGAAATTAGCACTAAAAGCTAGGCTAGGCCATAGGCTGACTAGTGGTTGGTCGAATAGGAATGGATCTCTTTTAAAGGACCTAAAATAGTAAGACTGCCTTAGTCAATTTGCTTTACCAGGAAGACCATGATGTTCAGTTAAGTGCTGCTAGTGGCTAACAGCTAGATAGTCTTGATATGGCGCTTCTGGTTAGACCCTGCTGAAATGACGATGGTGGTGTGAAGATATCCCCACCAGGCTTCTTAACTAGTAGGGGTGCACGATTCGATAACGATTTTTAGGCTCAAGATTCGATTCAAAAACGATTCTCGATTAAAAAAAAACGATTCACACTATTTAAATGTAGTTTACTTTTTCCTATGTGATTGATTGCAATAGACAATTGCATTCCTAAAAAAAATATACTAATGTCATAGAACCCTTGCAAAATTATGAAAAAAAAAATGAGCGCTATTTTTTTTCCTAGGATGGTAGGGGAAGACTCATAAATGGTATTAACCCCAGTGACGGGTAGGTTTAGGGACGGGGTTGGGGTAGGTCATATATTTATATGTACAGTAATGTAACGTTAAGTCAACGGCGTTCATAAACACGCTGAAAAGCGATTATGCGTGTTGATAGCACGCCAAAAATGGAAATACATTACAAAATACAATTAAAATACAATACAAATAAAAATATGGAAATACAAATGGAATTCACGGCAAAAGTGTCATACACACGCAATTTCATGAGATCAGTCTGCTAATCAGTTTTGGGGAGTAGTTAACTACAAGTAGCGACGCTACTAACTTAACTACATTTTTCAGTAGCTTGGCAGTAGCCCAGTTGCTTTTTTAACAGTGTAGCTTTTCCAGTAGCCAACTACTTTTTGCATCAAGTAGCGGTGTAGCGCGAGCAAAAGCTACACACCAGGCCGCCGGATGGTGTTGCTAAGAACTTGCTATTATCAGACTGGCCCTCGTGGCCTCAAAACACTACCGGACCACCGGAAAAAATCCTGACTCTCCCGGTTGCATGCCATTTCCAAAAAAATAAATAAAAAAATACATTTGTTGTTTGCTTTAATAATTAAGTGTGGCTGGGTTGCATGGACACAGATCTCCGGTAAACAGCCGGAGAAAGTGAATATATCATGGAGAGGTCACTGCACTCTGAACTCTAATACACACGTCTGCTTGTGGGGTGGAAACTTCAACATCTTTTCCGAGGACACTTCAAAATGAATGAAATTGACTGCCACCTAAGCAGTCCAATTAAGTGGACTTGTTTAACTGACCACACGCTCTCCGGCTCACCTCAGGGGATGGGAGGCCGATGGGAATCTTTCCATCTAAAGTGCTTTTCAGCAGCTTGTCTCCCAGGATCTGGGTGAGGTGTTGGGCCATGACTTTCTGCTGCTCTACACTGCAGTGGTTCTCAATGGACAGGATGACAGGGTACTGCGATGCCTGAGGAGGGGAGAGTGTGTGAATAAGTGATGGAGTGAAATGGAACACTCGACAGAAAACAACGGCTAACACACTGCCAGGCAGGGGTCGACTGCCCTAGATCACATTACACACAAACAGAAGGGCATGGTGCCCTGGCCCCATCTCACACACACAAAAATGCAAGTACAGTACTACGTATAACCTGGTTTAGAAAGATTAAAGATGAAGAGATAAAGAAAGAAACCAAGAGGTTTATAAAAAAGGATTTTAACTTGGTATTAAACTTGGTATTTATATCAGATACCACCCCCTTACAAAAGAAAGTACTGTGGCACCATAGTTTAGTGATTGAATCAGATGGTTAAACTATGGTGTTTACAAATATACCATGGTACTAATGCTAATACCTTGGTTTTCTTTGCAGAACCTTCAATCTCCCATGGTATATAAATCAAAGTACCATGGCATTACCATTACTATACCATGATACGGTGTTTTTTTTAAGGTAGCCCTCAAACCGTATTCACTTTATAGCCCTTAATCCTGTAATTGTGGACAAATGTGGGCACAGAGGACTCAGGTGTGATCCTATAAATGTTATATCACTGTCTTCGATAAAGTTTTATCTATCCATTTATGGTGTTTTTTTTTATTTTGGGGGTATTTTTGAATTTATTTACTTCAAAAAGTACCTTATTTTCTATGTAAATTATTGAATTACTATGTAGTTTTATTTTTTTAAGAACATTAAAATATCAATAATAAATTCTTAGAGCTAAAACCTAAAGATGAAGTGACTTTGCTGTCAACTGGTGTCTTATTTTAGAATGCTCTAAATTTCAGTGTTTCCCATTCATTTCTATGGGTGCCCATTTCTGACCCAAATACATGATTAAGGAGTTTTTTTTTCACCCACTTAACATTGTGGAATTGAGTCAAAAAAAATTTGTGTGTGTTCAGGAGGCAAACTTTGGAAAAGTAGCCAAGTCTTGTACCGCTCAGATCAGGGGAAGTATTTTTTAAAAAATAAATCAAAACTATTTTGTCCAGAATTTGTCCAGAATACAGTTTTAGGGTTAAAAGGTACCTTGTTAATGACATGATGTTTGCATTATTATACCATGGTATTCTTTTATGTACATTTAAAAATCATGTAAATACCATCGTATTTGAATATCATATTTGAAAGTACTGTGGTATTACCATATGGTAGCATCACTATACCAAGGTACCACCACAGTTCTTTTTGTTAGGAACCTACTTTGAAGGCATAGTTGCTCAGCACAGTAACAACATCCTTGAAGAAGATCTTGGAGGTAAACGTGTGTCCATGGTAGACGATTGGTTCTCCATTTGGTCCATCCCAACAGTCCACTTCTACACATCGACAGCCACGTTTCAATGCTCTGAAACAGTCAAGTTCATGTTTATGAATATAAGAAGAATTGCTCCATCTGTATCTTTTATACCAGATAAATGCTCATACTAACATGGAAAAGCCTGCGGATGGTGTGTTTTGTGGGTTAGGAAATGTCAACTTGATTTTTTTTTAAACGTGTACCGTATATAGCCTTCCACGCTGCTATGTCCTCTGATTTGGTCCTCCAGAAGGTATGTGTTATGAGAAGATGAAATGAAGTAATGGCAGAGAGGCTGAGTCATGTCCTGGGACAGGTCCACCATGGTAGGGTTGAAGATGGAGCCCTCTGATGAGCTCAGGTACATCAGGAAGCCGTCAAATGTCATAGCTTGCAACATTTTTGCTGGAGTCAAGAAGAACACAGCATTACGAGACCTGGAACTAAAAGTTAGTGAGTTTGAGTTTGAAAGTTAATGATTTGTTTGGAACAAGAGAGCAAACCACCAAAGATGACCTGAACAGATCAATGGCAACATAAGCTTTGAAGAAACTTCACCAAGACAAGTACAACTCTGCTTCATCACAAAATGAATTACCTGTGTCTGAAGGTTCATAGCGTTCAATGAGATTGAGTGCATACTGCTGAACTCCATCCTTGTGAAGCTGCTCCTCCAGCAGGAAATCTTTAAGATCTTTGAGTGTTAGCTTCTGCCCATCACTCGAATATTCCTGAAACACTCGCAGGATGTCTTCACGCTGAGTCAGCATCTTATAAAACAGCACAAACTCATCGTCTCCAAGAGTACCTGACTGAGACTTGTCCGCCATCTGCAGAACAAGAGAAGCTCTAAAGTGAACAAATACAAACAACTGGCTGGAAAAGGATCACCAAATAATGATCCAAGTGTCAAAACCATCATTGAACTGAAGTTATATCAAGCAGTGTAACATGAAAGTGCAGTTACCGTAAAGAGACGGAGAGCGTGATGCTCATTCATGTCCACGTTCATCATCTTCAGCAGATCTCTGATCTCCTTAAAGTTCATCTGCCCATCTCTGTTTTTGTCCGCTTTTTTGAACCAATCGCATATCCATCTGGAAACGGCATTAAGGGAAAACCAAAGTGCTGACACATGATTTACCAAAGTAGGACAACTATAATCTGATTTCAGGGGACTGATCCAGGTAAATTTAGTATCTTGAGGACGTCAGAACTGCTGCTGTCCTAGTGTATTTAAGTGTCTTTTTAATGCCATTTAGCCTCTCTGTGTGTCTGTTAGATGGACAGAGAGCGAAATGATAGACAGATAGATAAAGTCGCAGTAAAGGATACTGGTCTAGTTTCTCTCTCTGCCCCATGTTCTCCAGGTTATCGATGAGTTTGCGTATCCCATTTATCCATGATCGTGCCTCCTCTGCTGATTCGGCCACTAGGTCCAAGTTGCCCCGTCGACCACGAAACACGAGGGTGAAGCATCGGTCAGGTGGGAACTCGTCAGCAATGCTAAGCAGAACCTCAGATTGGTGCCCTTCCCGCACGGCCTCCACATCACCCACAGAAACTAGATACACACATAAACAATAGCTATCTAAATATGGACACACCCTTAGGCCGTGTGTCCACCAAAGCGTCACGCGCCTGGCGTATGTTTTCAATTGTTTTCAATGGGAGCGCCGCGTTTTTTAAACGCCATGAGCGTAACGAGGCGCTGAGCGTTTTTAGTCATGCTGAAGCGCCGAGCGCCCAGCGTTTTTACTGGTCGCTGGGAGTTGAAAAATGTTCAACTTTGGATAAAACGCAGCACTCATCACTGTCACATTTTACCCATCCGTCCAATCACAGTGGAGCCGTGGCCGTGTGTCCACCAAAGCGTTTTTATCCAGCTGAAAACGCTAGACGCTCTGCTGAAGATGCCGTGCTTTGGGTGCTTGAGAGCGTTTTGGCAGCGCAGCATTTTTTTCCGTTGAGACGTTTCGTTGCTATGATACAGAATATCCGCAGCACAGTTTGAATGTTGTGACAGTTGGTCAGTGTGGTTTAGTCCCGCCCCTCCTCCACTGTGATTGGACGGCTGGGTAAAAAGTGACAGTGATGAGCGCTGCGTTTTATCCAAAGTTGAACATTTTTCAACTCTCGGCGACCAGTAAAAAAACGTCGGGCGCTCGGCACTTCAGCGTGAAAAAAAAACGCTCAGCACCTCGTCAAGCTTATGGCGTTTAAAAAATGTGGTGCTCCCATAGAAAACAATTGAAAACAGACGCCAGACGCGTGGAAAAACGCTTTGGTGGACACACGGCCTGACGGTAGAGATCCACTTGTCCGACACGACAGTCGCGTGTTGTCGCGACGCCTCCCCACATTTATACTTTGATGGGCGTTCCTCAAGTTTACCGCTATGGCCGTGGTTTTGAGCCAGCTGCCAGTCTAGAACAGAGGACCTGCAAGAGATTTCCCCCCTTCTCCATATGCTCTACTTCTATTGGATAGTCGCGGGGCGTTCAACGGAATACATTTGCATAAAGATGGGCAACGGCCAGCTTTTTGACGCGCAGCATTTGTCCAAATGAAGCACCGCCTACCCGGGATGCTTTGCGGGCGCGTTAAAGTCACGCGACGTCACCCATAGGAATAAAGCAGAGCGCGGCACGACAGAAGTGCCGCACGGACAAGTGGATCCGCACCGTTACAGTTAGAGTCAAGACCAGACCATTTTTCTGACTCATCAAGGCCCAGACCAAAGCCACATTAAAGCCGTGTTTCCACCGCAATTACCAGGAACTATTTGTCCCAGGAACTTTTTTCATAGGAACTTTTCTTGCCCCAGACCGCTTGCTAACTGCGGGAAGATTATATGTAGTGACGTTGAACTGCGTGCGACTGCTCCTCCCAGTCTGCGCGTTTGTTTTGAGTTTTGAGTGCATTTTTTGTGCGATTGGTTTACTAACGAGGTAATAAACAAAACGGCAGAAAAGAGACGAGCACCCAAAGCGTATTCAGAAAGCTCGTAATGCTAGATATAAAAGTAGACGTTTGTTATCAGCGGACATTGACCGTGAGATGGATGAGACGAACGCGTGCCATCGGGCAGAAAGAACAGGTGGTAAGAACCAATCAGCATGTTCAGCGCACAAGTCCCACCCCGAAAGTTCCCGAACTCGGCTAAAGTACTACCTCGCCAACAGGGACTTTCTGGTGGGGAGGATTTTTACCCGAAACTTCATTTCGACCAGGGTTCACCAATCTCAGTCCTGGAGGGTCACTGTCCCTGCAGAGTTTAGCTCCGACCCTGATCAAACACGCCTACCTGTGAGTTTCTACTGATCCTGAAGACCTTGATTAGCTTGCTCAGGTGTGTTTGATCAGGGTTGGAGCTAAACTCTGCAGGGACAGTGGCCTTCCATGACCGAGATTGGTGAACCCAGATTTAGACCCTGGTTCCACCCCAAAGTTCCTAGTTCCTGCGGTGGAAACATGGCTTTAGGTGGTCTCGAGAGATGTCAGTCCCAAAAAAACAACAAGATCAAAACTTGTCTGACTCTCAGCTAAACCCTACACCTTGTCTAGACTAAGCAAGAGGAACCCAATCCTGCTCCTGGAGGGCCAATATCCTACAGAGTTTAGTTCACACCTGGTATTTCCAGGTATTTGCAATAACTAGAAGCAACCGGTGTTTTGGCAATAGTTATTGAGGATTTAGTGGGTAATTCTGTAATTAACCTAACATTGACCCTCCATGGACAAATGGGAACACCCCAGGTCTTGTGGTTCTGCAATCAATGTACTGTATGAAGCTGTTATTATATATTTCTGTCTAGGGTGATGGTGTACCTGTTCTAGGCTTGCCATAGAAACACAAGAAGAATCGATCCATGTACTATCACTATTGTGACCTTAAGTTAGACACTTAAGCTCAGGTTTCTCCAATTGCAGGGGTGTCCGATCCTGGATGGCCACCTTCCAGCAGAGTTGTACTCCAGTGCCAGTTAAACACACCCAAATATAGTCCTCTCTGATCCAACTTCCACTCCAAGATGTGGGAACAGAAGGCTATCACTTTCATTGTTATCCTCAATTTACATTTAAGAATTTAAGAACTTAATTTACATTACCAGTCGTAAACTGTAACAGGATAAAAGGTTTAAGATTTGGATGTTCTGGGGTTGATTCAGAGTCACTACTGCAAAAAAGTGGCCCTCAAGGACAAGGTTTGGCAGGACGACTATGGGATTTTAATTGTAATACATCCATTCCTTTGGATAAATGACTTTTAATTACAGAATGTGGATTTCAGCCATGTTAGCTCTACTTACAGGTGGAGTGGGCATTCCCAGCTTTCTTGCTCTTGTACCATATAGTCATGCAGTCTTCTTGTAGCCGGAAGTAACGCTGCTTTTTCCACGTTCGAGACTTGATTTTTCTCATCACTGTGCCGACGATCATGGACTTCAGGTTGTCATCACCCTGGATACCTGAGGAGCAAGACCGTACAGGAGACGAAGAGGGCGAGGAGGGGTCAGACGACAGGTAATGCACCTGACCCAGATTCACAGTACATCATGAAAACAAAACAGCCCTGTCTCTCATGACCAGATAATGAATCCTCGTTTTGTACGTTTGATGGGTTTTGGCACACATCTTAGCAGTCCAGTAACACTTTACTTCCCCTTAGGAACAACATGTCAACCACCAGTCATTAGAGTATTAGTAGACTGTCTACGTAAAATCACTTTATTTTGATGCTACCCCAACAGGCAATCTACTGACTATAAGTACATTTGAAACTATGCCAACTTATTCTACTAAACTTAACCTAACAGCAAACCTAACAGCAACGCAATTCTCTAATGAGAGTTAGTTGACATGTAGTAACAAATGAATGAGAGTTATTTGACATGTAGTTGCAAAGTTACTTATAGTTGTTAGAATGTCTGAAGAAGACTATCGAAATAGTGTAACCCTATAATCTACAAGTTGAGCAACTGGAACTATTTAGACTTGTCTTTAATACTTTGCATTTTATATGCAAAACAAGATACAATCAAGCCCTTTTATCAAGCTTTCATAGACCCAATGTTTGTGGAGACATCTGAAGACAAGATCTACCAAAACTAATTAACTAACTTTACTTCAAGGTGTGGCTACATGTATAGATTCAATGTAAACTTACGTAAGCTCCTTTCAGAAGAAGCCATCTGCCGTTCTGTCATTTTTTAGACGTCTCCTGTTTTTGGATTAAAGAGAGAAGAAATTAATTGTCTCACTGACATAAGCACATTAAAGAAAATCTTGATTTTATCATTAACATTGCTATTTTAAATAATAAAAGTAACAAACCTTTGACCATAATTTTCTAAACATAAATGTAAAATATTTAGAATACAATTTTTAAATAAATCGAACTGCATCAGTCATGCCCACTACCCTTAATATTAATTTAAAGGACTGTTCCTACATTTGACAACCTTTTTCACTGCTTTACATATGCAACACCTCAAACAAGTATTTCCAGACTGTGTAAATGGCTGTTGTTAGGGGAAAATCCCATGGACGTCCGGCTTTAATACAGGGATCAGCACTAGAGCTGTTGCCTCAGACGCTTCAATGTTTGTATGGATCCGTTCATTGTGAAAGCATCTCACACTAGCCCAGCCCTCAAATACTGCACAGTCATGCAAAATCAAACAAAAACACACACACACGATTGAGAAATCTGCAGTCATTATTAATGAAATGTAATTAAATTGTATTAACTATATTCTGTTTATGTTAGTGCTGTCAAATCGATTAATCACATCTAAAAGGTTTTTTAGATACACACACATTTATGTATTTACAAACTTATATGTTAGATGCGATTAATCGATTTGACAGTACTTGTTTATAAATGTAATTAAATTGTATTAATTATATTCTGTTTATGTTAGTGCTGTCAAATCGATTAATCACATTTAACATGTTTTTACACACACACACACACACACGTATGCATTTACAAACTTATATTTTAGATGCGATTAATCGATTTGACAGTACTTGTTTATAAATGTCATTAAATTGTATTAACTATATTCTGTTTATGTTAGTGCTGTCTAATCAATTAATCACATCCAACATGTTTTTATACACACACACACACACACACATTTATGTATTTACAAACTTATATGTTAGATGCGATTAATCGATTTGACAGTACTTGTTTATAAATGTAATTAAATTGTATTAACTATATTCTGTTTATGTTAGTGCTGTCAAATCGATTAATCACATCTAACATATGTTTTTAATACACACACATTTATGTATTTACAAACTTATATGTTAGATGCGATTAATCGTGATTAATCGATTTGACAGCACTAAGTTATGTTAAAATTAAGAAAATGCCAATCTTAAAACAAAAAAAAAGACCAGAAGCTTGCCACGTGAACATTTAAAGACGTGATGTAATACCCAGCCAAAGTTGCCATGAAGATTCAGGTTTCACACAAGTCGACTTAAACATGCCGAACAAAATGTCCATCATTGCTGTTGAGTTGTTAACAAAAACATGCTCAACTCATGCATATTTCTCGATTCTCCAGATTCTTTCAAATAATTTGTTGTTAATTGCTCTTACAATTTACAACTAAGACTTTTTTATTACACCAAAATTATATATAAAAGCATTACAACAACAGTGTCAATAGTATGTTCACTATATTGTACAAAAATGAGTGAATACATATTGATAACAGCAGGGTAATACTTATAATTTTTCATTTACATTATTTGTTTCTATTTAAAATAAACAGTTTAAATATAAATAAAACTACGCTAGGCTAATTTATCATTTTTATAAATATTAAAAAATAAAAAATGAAGCCATTTAACTAACAGCAAAAAGACAAAACAAGCAACAGGTATGAAGAGTATCTGTACAGGTATACTAACATGAACTTTCATAATAAACGATTTATGTATTGAAGGTCCACTTACCCTCAGCGGGCTCATAGTCGGATCTGTATTTGAGTTTTGAAGAGGAGCCGGACTCAGGAGAAGCCAGAGTAACGTGGCCCCCGCTGCAACAGAGCCGGACTGACTGTCCACATCTCACCACAACACGCCTCCCTCTGACGCACAACCACACACACAGATGCAAGCACACGGGCCTTTATCCACAAAATACACTTTCTGTCTCCCTTGGCAGTCAAAATATCTCTTGTCCTCCTCCCACCTCTCAGGCTGCTTTGCCTTGTGTTTCTCTGTCCCTCTGTTCAGATAAAACGAGGGTCTGTCAGTTTTGTGGACGAAACACAATACTGTGTATTGCGTAATTGGAGTGTTGCATTCCTGCAGTGTGACAACCTGAAGGTTTTATCGCCACAGAATACATGTGCAGATGTGAAATTTAACACTTTAACTAATCCTGAGTGAACTCAAATAATTAACACCCCAAATTATCGATTGGCTCTAATTGAAACTGTTTGTATTAGCATTAGCATTGTATTAGCATTAGCAGTATTAACATTATGCATAACAAAGCTTTTTTGCTTTGCCTAAAGTCTGAATCAAAATTGCTATGCTGTTACCATTTTGGGTGGTTTTTAATCACAATGTTAGGGAGTTACGTAACAATTGCAATTTTAATTGTATTGCAGCATTTGCTAAATGTTTTCAAGTTCTTTGCCATGAGGTTTTTAGGTGTTTGCTCACTGGAAAAAGTCAAAAGAGCCGTAAGGTTGCAATGTTGTTGCTGTTCTGAGTGGTTTTTGGTCCTGGGGTCTATACCATGAAGCCGGTTTTGGTGGCTAGCTAGGTATGTTTCAGTTTAGTTTGCGCCAACCCTAGGTTTTAGACACCATGAAAGTGGTTTGGGTTTTAGCAGTGTTAATCGCCATAGTAACTTCCGCTCCATGGCTAACCTGGTCCGGGGCAGGTTATGTTCCAGGTAAGAGGTTCCATTCCAGGATTTTTCTCCATATAATGGACTTCATTGGGAACCAAACGGTTCAAGGTCCAAATGAGAGTTTCAGTGCAGCTTCAAGGGGCTTTAAACAACACCAGAAGATGAATAAGGGTCTTATCTAGCGAAACGATCGATCATTTCAAAAATAAATAATAACTTAAGTTGTATAAGCGCAAATGCTCGCCTTGCTCTGTTCTGTGATGAGCGTTCCTGTTCAAACTCGTTTATCAAAACGAACAAACATTTTTTCGAGTCATGACTCGAAGGGTCCTTACTCATCGTCTGGTGTCGTTTAAAGCCCTTTGAAGCTGCACAGAAACTCTCACTTGGACCTTGAACCGTTTGGTTCCTATTGAAGTGCATTACATGGAGAAAATCATGGAATGTTTTCATCAAAAACCTTCCTTTCTTTTCGACTGAAGAAAGAAAGACGTGGACATCTTGGATGACATAGGGGTGAGTAAATTATCAGCAAAAGTTTTTTTAAACGTGAACTACTCCTTTAAAAGTAAAATACAGAATGAGAAATAGTAATAGTGACACTAGCTAGCACCAAAATTTAACCCACGACCGATTTGGGTTTGGACAGATTGGTCAGTAGGAACTATTACCATATTACATTGTGCACTAACTTTATAAAAAGTTTAAAGTTAAGAGTTATGAAGGAGCATTTATCAAATATTCAAATGCCTTCATGGCATGTTGACAGCCGTATGTCGGGCGGCGCCGTCCAGAAACACGCGTCAGGGAGTTTAATGCGTGTTTGTAGAGCACAGCTCAAGAGTCTATTGTCTACGCTTGACTTCCCTCACCGGGGCCCTTTTAACGGAGCCCCCAGATGATCGGATCGAGTTACTTAAGGCATTTATCATTTAACAACTCCATTAAACTGTGTTTAGAAAGAGGAAGGAGAGCAGAAAAACCTTTTTGAGCCAATTTAGACCAAACATCTCGAATTCGAAATAAACACATTTGAAATACTTTATTCCTATCAAGGGGTCTCGCCAGTCGATTTCGGTTGTACCTAGCTTCATCTCCTATTCGGAATACTACTTCTCTGTCCCTTCCTCATGTGTCTGTTCATGAATAAAACAACTGAGCTCAATGTCTGAGCTCAACTTACACACACAGCATCTTTAAAAAGGGGGTCCCTGCCTACTGGCTATATCACCGAGCCAAAGGCTGGAGCGTTTCCAGACTCCTATACGAACACACACACACGCGGTCAAACACTTTCCATCACAGACATCCCCTCCATGAAACTCTCACCTTGGGTTTAACGGCGTATCAGTTTGTTCATTACACAAAAGTGATTAGTACTAAACTCAACTGACCGTTCGGTTGATATGCCGCTTGTAACTGCACGGGATTTTATTTCACTGTTTATGGAAAATGGCTCATATACATTTCTGCTGCATGGTGAATAATGGAATAAAACTGAAGAGGTGACAGTACTTTTAAAATAAAAATTGTTTACCGGCGGTATTACTGCGTAAAAAAAATAAAAAAATGGTTTATTTGAAAACAAATGGCCATTATTGTATTACTGCTCCAGAGCAGGTTTTTGCAATGCCACTAATGGCCAGCAGGGGACAGCCAATGCGTTATCTTTATTTTTTATAAACGTAATCAAGATGCAAAAACAGTATGTAAACTATAAATGTTTGAAACTGTAGTATACTTTAATTTTTGTCCAATTACGTCATTAATTCGGCAAATGTCACTGGGGGAATTTCTTTTTGCAATATTATCAAAATTGAGGTCTAATTTAAATAGTTTTATGACATTGTGTTTGGACAATTATAGAACAAATTATATTTCTATACGCTCTTCCTCAGTTTCATTCGCTTAATTTCTAAAAGCCGAAATATTCTAATTCATCCTCAAGACCGGAAAAGCAGCACAGCGGTTGGCGATTTCACTTGACATTTACGATGACATGAGACTGTTTATTTAACAGCTTTCAAAATTACAAACACGTTCTCTTTTTTTTTGTGATGAAAAATACGGACAATACAGTCTTTCAATTCCTCTCGATTCTGTCAAAAAGGCATAGAGGAAAAGGAAAGAAAAAAAAAAAACAACCTAATAATGGATGAGACTGACTCTTCCTCAGTCCAGCAGAGTCCAAAGTCAATTATAATATCTCGAAAAACAAACCGTAAATGCTGAGCACCATTTCTGATCATCTTGGCAAAAAATATTAAGTGCCCTTGTATGTAAGAACAGTCTGATGTGTGGAAGGTGAGGTGCTGGCCGTTCTGGAGGGTTATGGATGAGTGTGTTACTGAGGTGGTAAAGGGATGCCGCGGGGGTCTGTGACCTGCCCTTCCTGGAGGTTTTTGACGAGCTGTGAGAGCCAGCGTTTGGTGGTGGAGTCGTCCTTTAGCACTTGAGCAAACGTGGTGTCCTTCAGCTGGTCCGGCAGACACTGACGCAGAGCTTCTCTCGCCCTGAGAAAGACAAAATAGTGTTTTAGAAAGTCAAGTACACTGATGAAAAAATGATAAGTTATGACAACACTCAGTGTAACTCAGTAAAATAAGTTAAGCAATTTTCTACTTTTTTTTATAAGTTATACACGATTTAACTCGTTTTTTAAGTCAGTTTAATGTGATTAAACTTTTTTTAGTGTTATATATATATAATTGAATAATAAAATATTTAAATTATTTTTATTAAAATGTGTGTATCTGTATATACACACATATATATATATATATACATACAAATATATATAAACACACACACACACACATATATATATATATATATATATACACACACACACACACATCTGAATAAAAATAATTTAAATACATTTTAATATAAATTAAATCAAATAATATTTTAAATTAGAAAAAAAGAAAAAATATGTATATGAACATAAACGTATATTCTAAATGTATATTAAAATGTTAATTTATCTGTTGTATCCAATTTGTTTTTTGTTTTGTTTTGTTTTTCCGTTCAAAATGTATTTGGTTTAAATTTGGTTCAAAATATAATGTATTAAAAATGTAATTATTTAGTTTAAAATGATTATTTTTTTAATCTACACTATTGTTCAAAAGTTTAAGGTCAAATATTACAAAATATTACTGAAATATTTCCGTAATAAAATATTATATAACACAAATATTACATAAAAAAATACGTTTTTTTATGTAATTTACTCCTGTGACGCAAAGCTGAATTTTCAGCATCATTACTCCAGTCTTCAGTGTCACATGATCCTTCAGAAATCATTGTAATATTAGTGTATTTAACCAGGTTTTTATATTTCACATAAACATCAAATGATTAAGCAGCACAAATCTTCAACTTTTCCCAACTGCAATGTGTGCACCTCCTACAAGCTAAAACATGAGCAAGGAACTAGAAAATCAGAGGGAAAAAATACCTGGAGTTATCAGAGAGTCGTAAATAACATCTCACAACATGTTTCAGAAGGCGAGCTGAAGGCTCTTTAGACAACTGAAGAACCATCTTCCCCTGCAAGACAAAAAGCACAAAAAACCCACGCATAATACTTAAGCTTAACCAGCATTTAAATGAGCTAATCACAATTCAGAACTTCGAATCAGAGACATTATAAAGTGTCCAACGTGTTTAACTTTCAGTCTGATTGAGATAAGTAACAGATGCCAATCAAGCATAATAATAATTTTGAACTAAGTTACTCACCAGAATCATGGCAACATGCGAAAAGCGTTCGTAGGTCTGGCAGATATACGCAAGACCCGTGTCATCCAAGAGGATCTTCTGCAGTATAAATGTGGCCACCTGAGAGAGAGAAACAAATGCGTATGTGGTTTAAACACCTGCATCTTTCTGAATCCTGGATTTACCCGAATACAAGTTCAAAATTGGCCAAAATAATACATATATGTGAGAAGAAATTTGGTGCTGTTTTTGTAACCGAACCGTTTTCGAAAGCTCACTGCCGGACTCCATGATGCGCAGACAGAGAGGAATGATTTCTGTGGTCAACAGGAAGTTGATCACCTCCTGCTCATCTGTTTTCACCAGCGCTCCTGTAAAACAACCACATGTTATTGCACACTTATTTAGCCTACTAAAAGAGTTGTTGGAGTTTTTCCTGCATTAGCCGGTTTTCTTACCGATAACACCCAGACTTGTGAGTCGCAGGTATTCGAAGGGTCGAGTTTTACTGACCGTGTGCAGGAAGGGATACAGAAACAGAGGGATGTGAGCTGCCAGGAAAGCAGAGCTGAGGATGAAAAACAAACAAAAGAGTCAGTGTGGCAGAGGATTAAAGACAGTGTTAAATCTGGTGTACACAAGAAGTGAGTTACCGTGTCTCCACGTGAGAGGCCACACACTGCAGCAGTGCTAAAGCGTTACACACTCGGTTAGACTGATGTGCTGTCAGTGTCGGGGGATTTATGGATGGGTAGATGTTCACAATTTCCTGTAAAAAAAGAGAAAAACAATGATACCTGGTAATGTCTCTTTAAAAATAATTGTTTGAACCTGTATTATGAAATCTAACCTTTACTGTTATTATTATTTATTTTATCCTTACATCATTTTCTAATGTTTGGATTAGTTTTTGAATTACTTTCAAATTATTTTACTGTCAACTATTAGAATTTCCATTCAAACCATTATATTTGTAAACCAAATTTACAATTAAGTCAATTAAAAATGCAGTTACATGTCACTTTATACATAAACATTTTAAAGTGTTTTAAAGTAAGAATTTGCTTTTTTTTTTTTAAAGAACAAAATGTATAAATTGCAAAAATTTCCATTACTTCATTCATTCATAAACGAAAATGACAAATTACTTATAAATATTATTAAATGTTCATATTATTGCTTTTGTCCCCTTTAATATTTCAATTAATATATGATTTTACTGAAATGTCATTGATTTATCCAAAATCTTTATAAAATGTCAAAATAAACATAAATAAAAATGCAGTTACAAATCACCTTATATAATCATATTTTTCTTTTTGTATTTCTTTAATTGTT